ATACAAGATAACACGAATGGTGCGCAGACTACAACTGATTAAATCTCATGAATTTATCAGGATTACTCAAAGGTTATCTGTTTATACAATAATCGAATGAATATTCTAGGGAAGATAGGAGGTGGTTGTCAATAGTGTTATTCTTGAGTTGGTTAAAAGGATAACGTCACCGATTGAGTAAGTGTAGCGAATGCTCAACAGACTGAATATATATATATATATATATATATATATATATATATATATATATATATATATATATATATATATATACCGTTAAACAATGCACAAGAACATACATACATATGCAACGTAGACTGAGAGATTGATTTAGATGTAACAACATAGAGATGAACATTGATGATTATTGATATACTTGTAATTCTCTGTTGTTTCATTGGATTGAATTATTCGACATCTATTGGCAAGTGGACCCCTATGAGGATACCTCGGTACGAAGTTCGAGTCTCAGTGGGAACAACATCACCCCGGACTGGGGTGCACGTACGTCCAGCTGACGAGTCCCAAATAGGACGAAACGTGCATCCTGGATTCCACTGCTAGCCACTATCCATCTTTACAGTACTAATAATGTTGACGTGGGGGTAAGAACTGAATCGACTGAGTGTAGATCACGTCATTCAAAGCAAGATAGTTAATAGTACTTATGCAGACATTATTAGAAAATCAGATGTATATGGAGATAATTAATCATGATAACAATGGTAACAGGAATAAGGTTAATTAAGCAAAACAAATCAAAGAAGGAAAACAAAATATAAGATGAGTGATAATCAAAAGCGAAAAGCAAGTAAAAAAGACTGAGTATAATTAGATGATGTTGTAATTCCTACTATGACAGATTTAAGCTGACTACCACTTCCTTCTAAATACAGAGGTTTGCTTTGACAACTCGAATCATGCAGGCTTCTGAAATTCTAAACAATTTCTTATTTTGCTGTCTATTGATAACCGTAAAAAATTTACAGGTATCAATATGATGCCTATAATCCACTGGACGTTTCGCTATCGAGCTCCTCAAGGTCCTCTTCTTGATATGCTTCAGCCATTTGGATGGGTACTCAACCATTCCAGTAGACCAATGTATTTGCTTCCGTAGGTACATACGAATTGACATATGCATTTAGATGTATCCAGGATTGGAGCCCTATCTTTCCCTGATTGTAGCAGCGTAATAAGTCCTTTTAATGGACTTCTCCAATCTTCGTCTAACAACTTGTACGTCGTCAATTTTGAATGTCCAGGTGATATACACTGGTTCCGTCTGCACTGCTAAGGATGCTGTTCTGCTTCCTACCCATTTTGCATGCTTGTTGATAAAGCTTTCTGTGTACCCATTCTTCACTAGCACTTTTCTAAAGTCACCACTTCATAGTTTAGTGTGCTGTCGGAAGAAATTATTTTGGCTCTGTTGAACAATCTTCTGACTAAATTCGGAGCGGAATAAAGCTCCTAAGATGAGGGTACTTTCCTCTCCATGAGGTTTCCTATAGATGGATCTTTAGATAGACTCATCGATTCTCGTGTTCAGTTGTGAAGGTGACATGAATTGAAGTTCTTCAGTAGTGCTTCTGCCTCCAATTCTCTATTACATACAATTTTCTTTTCCATTATTTAAGCGTCTGTATAATTAAGTATGTAAAGTATCCAACTGACGAGTATTACTGAAACTTATGAATTCATTGACTCCTGCTTTTTCACACATTCGTTTCTTTGCTTAACATATTGTCATTATATTGTGTAATCAAATGAATACAGTAGGTTTAGGAATAGACTGAATGAGAACATGAAAAAGTAAAGGATGCTGAGGCCATGATATTTCGTATTTACAGCTACTTGGTGAAGGCTGGTAGTGGAATCTAAGATTCATATTTCGTCCTATTTGGAATGATACATCGATAGTATTCTAAGTGTCAAGTAAATGCCGAATGATTGTACTATGTGAAATTTATGAACCTTTACAACTCAAATCCTTCGGATTGTGTATAAAAATGTAAGCACCAATAACAATAAATCTTCCCTCTTTTCTTTTAATATATGTGCTTTGATAAGTACATGTGAAACGATAACAGGATTTGAAAATTTCTACACTTTGGATCATCTCCTAAATGAGCAAAACTAACTCTCACTTTTTGAGTTGTATTCATCTTATCATTCAATGTAATGAAAATCTGTTAACCTTTTTATTACGCTTACGTAACCATGATGCTATTTCTACCCACCCACCTTCCAATTTCCGTCATCCTCTATTAAATGTCCAATTTATTATTGTATAAATAGTCAACTTTTGAGTAGTCTTAACCACTTTACACTCACTTTCATCAATTTCGGTCAGCCTATATCTTTTATATTATCCTCCACCTTAATCACAACATTGGTTATATTGTGTTCTCTTAGCTGAGTTGTTTAATCGATTAAACAACCCAGCTAAGAAAACACAATACAACCAAGACCATCCACCTGAGCTACAAATATTCTCCATTATTTCAATCACAGTATTCTTATCAACTTATGACAGTACTCTCCTAACTGTTTTTTTTTATTATAAACATTATTTTCCATAAGTTGCCAAGTAGTTAAGGAGAATCCACGAGGCATATGGCATGATAATTCTGTTACATATCACTATGCGAACCTAGCGAATCCGTTTACAACCCGAACCCGAATAGGGTAGGTAAGTTAGGTTAGTCAGTGAATGTGAGTGACACTCGTCCAAAAAAAATTGCCTTGTGACCATCAGTATCTAGTGATGAGAAATGCAGTGAAGTTGATCATTATAGAAATAGTAATTCAGTTAACTAGTATTCATCACACGAAGAAACACTGGGATTTTGATACCTCGGTACATTAATCAACATAATACTGAGGATAACTAAGTAACGGTTGACGTTGTCACACCTCATTTCAGCACATCAAGTAACAAAGTAGTAAGACTAAAGATGAAGAAATAAACAAAATCAGTCGAAAACAGTAGAAAGTAGTAGAAAACAGTAGTAAAAAAGAGGAAGGAGAAGTGAGAAGATACTGAACTCAGTATAGCCACCATTCAGATAATGTGTGAATGCATATCCACTACTCATATCGATCATCACCATCATCACCTACACTCTCAAAACACAAACTTTCCTTATCACATGAACATTACCACACACACTTAACATTAACAGTCAAAAACTTCGGAGATTCATGTCATGTTTTAGTCTGACCACTACATCCTCCTCAACCTACTTACGCTAAAATTCTACGAACAGGCAGATGGTGATTAAGCGCGTGTAACACATTTTCCAACCACTTTAGTTCACGAAGGTTCACAACCTCATTAACTGACTTTCTTCTCCTCTCTAGAGCTCTACACTTGACTTTTGCATTACTCATACATTACTCCTATATTAACAAAAACAACATATTCAGTGAAGAGGACTTTCAATCAACGAATCTATTCTCTAACTGTACATTTGTGTATACAAATGACATCTAAAGACTGCAATCCACAAGGAAAGTTAAATTTAAGTGAAGGGATGTTGAAATAACAATAATGAAAGTCAAAATTACATTATGTTGGTGGTTGATAACGTAAAGGTTAGATGACGACAAAAAGGAACTAAGTATCATTTTAAAATCGTTCAAAAGGCATATATAGATCAAAAAGAAATGAAACCATAAGGAAAACAATGATCCATTAACAACCGTTTAGTTTACTAATATAGCTTATTGGTTCAGGCAGTTGATTTTCAATCAATGCAGTGAGGCATAAGAATCCCACTGTAACTACCGAGGTTTGAGCAACTAGATGGTATTATCGAGCCTCGCATAATAGGTGTAACTTATTGTCTACTGCATAAATGTACGAGTGGTTAGTGAATAGTTTTTAATCGATATAGATGGTAGATTTTCAAAAAGTTTGACAGAAATCTGTAACCTATAAAACCTTATCAATTTTATCTTTCTGAGAAATCTTGATCATTCACCGAGAATAAAGTTTGATATTTCACCCTAACTGATTGACCAAAATGATAATTTCATGTGAACATTGTCCGGAATTGTAGCATTATCCATATGTTGTAGACTTAGCCTGCCAATAACATAGAAGTCAGACGTAAAAGAGGTATGTTGTTGTGAACCCTTGTCGTCTCAGGTGCCTATGATATGTACCACGCATGCTTAGTCATCAACTACCAACCTTATCATGCAATATTAAGTGAAGTGGATTTATGCAAGAGAAAGATTGAAGGCGGGCACACTAAAACATGGCATCAGTTCACAAAATCTTCTTCTAGTCTGGGTGGTCTAAGGAAATCCAACCAACTTGATTGGTGTACGTGTAACACCTTTACACAATATGGGTCAGGACAGATTTCCCTAGTATAAATGAACTTATACACTAACCTCATCTTAAACGCTACAGTACATTTTAGTTATTGGTTGACACTTTCTCGCTTTATTCTTTTTTTCCTTATTTTTCTATTTTATTTTGATGCAAGATGTGAAAACTCGATAGTCACATATTGTTTATGATTAATTGACGGATTCCTGCGAAAAGTGCTCTACTACTGAGGATCTTTTGAAGGATGTAAAGTAATCACTCATTTGTTTCACACTGTGATTGTTTCTTAGGATGATGAATTTACAAATGATTAATAAATCGCACAGTTCACGTTAATATTCCTTACAGCTGAATAGTTTTCCAACTGTTCAACTATAGTGTTAACAAGATTACCGTTGGAAATTATTCAGCCAAGATCATACTGTTGATCTGTTAGGCGTCAAATAAGCTACACAGCAATCCAGCACATAGATCTGTCTAGTAGTATGCTTCTAAGGTGGCTTCTTATTTCCTGTTTCATCTCAGCTCTCAATGACTATATAAAATCAATTCATTGTTGTCATCTAAATTAGTGAATACTGATAGGCTGCAAACATATTATAAAATATGAAAGAAGTATGTAATCCAGTTTAACAAGACATAAGAAATAACTTACGTAACAGATCAGTAATTAGTTGTCCATCACATGGATCAGCTATGATAGAACAATGTTCATAATACTGTCTAAAATAAAAATCATATGCAACAATGTAAATATAATAAATTATGTCTATATGTATACATTTTAATAACACTCTTAACGTAAAATGATCGACCTAAGCGGAATATTCATAATTTCAACTTGGTACAAACATTGGACTGTCATCACTCAGAGAATTATCGAAAACCTCAGAGTAGTGGATGCTTATTTCATTCTAGACCAAGATTCCTCAATTTTGTGTACACTTGAGGCCATCAGGGATCGAACCCAAGGATTTCAAGTTCCGCAGGTAGCAGGTTACCACCCCCCACAAACCTCAAGGGTAGGTAACTTGCCGACCACGTAGCCTGAAGGTCCTAAGTTTGATCCCTAGTGGGGGGGGGCACAGGTGAGCACTACTGGGATTTCCATACTAGGAAGAGACAGCTGTCCAGTGCTTGAATGTTATCAATGGTTCTGCAACTTGTATCCGTTCATAATGAATACTAACTTGAAAAAAAATAAATAAATCCCTACCAACCTTCAAACGGTATTCACCATGGTTACTTCAAACAAAGGCATGAATACGAAGCTTTGTAAAACGTCACGTAGATCGATTCGTAACTTGAGAGGAATGCACAACATTTGCTAATAATATCGAATTATACGATTGATTTGACATATTCAAGTCTGGCTTCTTTTCGATCTTTGGCAATTTACAGATCACAATATAGATGTTTTTTCGACGCCCTACCTCATCACAGCTTCTTTCGATAGAGCTTTAAGCGTTGATCTAGGCATGATTTTCACCTATGCTAGGTATTAATTATGAACGTTTCTTCAATTAACTTCATACTGTTGACCTTTGGTAATGAGACATCTACAGGAACAAACTAATTCACTTCTTGATAACTTAGAGTGAAATCAATATTGAGTGAGTGAGCTTTCATGATTCATATTCAATTAAATCTTGAGGGAGTTGTGGGGAATTTGGAAATATTTCGTGTTGTTATTCATCGTAGACTGACACCAGTTGAAAGGACAAAAGAAACCTGGGAGCACTGGACAGCTGTTTCGTCCTAGTATGCGACTCAGTAGTGCGCACCCACGACCCCGCCAGGGATCGAACCCGTGACCTTCAGGTCCCGTGGCCAGCACGTTACCATTGATGGTCGTGAGGACAGTTACTCAACAATGAAATTGGGCGGCGGTTGCACTTTATCGTGAGCTAACAGAAGTTGGAAATATAGACCACTGGATTCTGACCCAGTGGCTTAATGGTAACGTGCTGGCCACGGAACCTTAAGATTCGCATTCACTTAAGGCTCCTTTATTAAATACTGATTTTTGACACATCAAGAAGTGCAAGCACTTGATCTGACATTCTCAGCAAAATTATCAGTGGTCTTTTGTAGACAAGGTGACAGATTTTAGTCGGATTAATTTGAGGCTAGCTGGCATACTCAGCAAATAGCTTAACAATCTGAATATATATATATATATATATATATATATATATAAACAAAGGTAACGACTTAACCCAACCATCTGTTTAAACATTACAGTTGGTCCTAATTGGGATAATCTAATGACTACACGAGATACTAAAGAGATACCAGCGAATACGTATGCATATAGCCTTTGACAAGCCTTTCATCTGCAAACGCAATTTTTCAGTTATATAACACAAAACGATGCACAGGTTCAATCAACGCCGAAACTGGGAAAGGTGAAGATCAATTTCGCTGACAAAACAAATGGCTTTAGTTGGAGTCAGTCCAAACATCCATATATCTGGGAAGTTATGTGCGTCCGTGGTCGTGTGATTGATGATATCCGCACTACCGTGGTGAAGATCAGGGTGGAATGCTATAACTTAAGTCATCTTTAGTGTTATTGTGATGTTTTTCTGATCGTAAAACACCATGTATAAGACCAAAGTTAAGCTTGACACCTGTGAGAACTTGTCACTCAGAGCCATAGACGTTCAGTGGTTGGCTCCGTTTATCCATTGACAGATCTATATAGTTGTTAATATCAACTGACAACATAGTGTATTTAGTTCCGAAGCCATTCGGTGTTTGTCTAGACACGAAGGGGATTTTCGTTCAATAAGTAGTATCATCTTGAAACAATGACCTGAATGTGCTGGATATGTATTATGTAAATGATCTAAACAGCATCTATACTGTTCACTTTCTACTCAGTGCAATTTTCTTTTAAAGAAGCGTAGAGATTGTCAGTTTATATGACAGTACTGTAGTACAACTGATAACGGTTGTGTTGTTGCAATACGGCTAACTGAATGAAGCGATGCACCTCAGTGACTTCCAATGATATTATGGTGTAAATTAGTTCTGATCACCCTCTACCTTGAAAATATCAAACATTCTGAAATTTTCAGTCATATTTACACCTTCTAAACTGATCAATCAACAGAGAATATGTTTCAAACTTAAAGGATAAAGGGGTTTACACTACATGACATTTCGCTTTTGTACACAAACAGACAATGTTTTACTTCATCGACATGGTTGCAACTAAGTCTCAAAAAGTAAAAGCCTTAAAGTACAATTCTGTTTTTCATATGTAATGAGTCAGTCAACAGGGTTTCGTCAACAAGGCATATCCTACAATCATGCAGAAACCGATGTTCCCTAGATGGTGGGGACCAACGTCACTTAGTATTGAATCCAGAGATGTTACCGTTAGGCTATTCGAATAGAGATGGGTATTAAGGGCAATACAACTTCGTTAAAATGCACTCAACAACCTTGTCCACATCCGTTCAGTGGGTGGCAATAAGCCACAAGTATAATATGGGGGGTAATGATACTACTACTATCTGCCTGTCCAAACCACTTAAGGTCGAGGAGGGGAGTTCGAACCCGCGTGTTTTACTGGATCCCTGCCGAAAATTTGAACTTCACATTAACAATGATATCTAACCCATTGTAACTTAAATAAAAGCGACTTAACACCATCTCTTCTGTTGGCCTCTTTATCTGGAAGTTGTAACAGTAATTCCCTTACAAATCAACCAATTTAATACTAATCCGAAGCTAATTAGTACCGCGCTTCTTGGCAAATATTCCAAAGCATTTCATGAGGAATTATAACTTTTTAGGCTAACTCAATCAAGAATGGAAACTGGAATTTTGTTTGTTGGCGGCTAGCAATGGAATCCAAGATTCATATTTGGTCGTAGTCGAGACTTATCAGCTGGATGTGGTTGCATCCCAGTGAGTGGTAGTGTTCTCACTGGGACCGTAGCCCAGTAATCACCCTTTTGAACTTCAGAGAGTCATCCACTAGATTACCGTATCAGGCATAAATGAGATATTCGCATAAGAACCTATATGGAACGAATGGAACTTATCCAGCAGCCCTGTGCACCTTAGTGCAATATGCGGCAATGAACCACACCTAACATGTGACGGTCAATGATACTTATTACCTGATTGTCCAAACCTCCGGAGGTGAAGCGAGGTTGGTTGACATCCGACTCGTTATGCAGCCTGAAAACTCAAAGTTAAAATTTTTGGTATAAGAGTAAAACGTGAGCACTGTGGTTGACTGAAATTCCATTTTAGTCTGTTTATTAGAAATATCACACAGTGAAACAGTAGCATTTACTGGATAACGTTTCGGACACAATTTATTCTCCATATTCATATCAGGTAACTCCACAACTTCAAGATAGACTTTATATATTCCTAATTCTCTCTCCTTCTTTGTGATGACAAGGGTAGTAGAATTTTCCATATATCTGTGACAGGTACAGAATCATTTCGATTGCATGTATGTAAAGTGGCATTTAAACCAGCAAACTCACTTAGTAACAATCTCTGCAGGTTAAGAGATCCTATCGACACAACTAAGCAAAATAATCTGGTTTACCAGATCCCTTGCAATGATTGCGAGGTTAAGTACATAGGTCAAAGCAGTCGACCAGGGTCGATTAGAATAACAGAGCACAAAAACTTATCTAAATCAGATTAGTAGATCCTAATAAGATAAGAAATCTAGAGAAAAGCTCGGCTATAGCTCTGCATGCGATGACACACAATCACACAGTAGGGTGGGATAGAGCGACAGTGTTGAAAACTAACTTATTTGGGTGGAGGGAGAGAGAGATTGATAACCGGATCTTTATTTATCGAATCAACACCAAACACATGCAATCAAAATGATTCTGTACCTGTCACAGATATATGGAAAATTCTACTACCCTTGTCATCACAAAGAAGGAGGGAGAATTAGGAATATATCGAGTCTATCTCGAAGTTGTGGAGTTACCTGATATGAATATGGAGAATAAATTGTGTCCGAAACGTTATCCAGTGAATGCTACTGTTTCACTGTGTGATATTTCTAATAAACAGACTAAAATGGGATGAAAATTTTTGGGCCTTTGAGAAAGAAAGACTACAGCCAAAAAGTTATCAAGTAAAAGAAGGTAGTGAGTGACCCATAACCTCCCGTGTTTGCATCTCGTTTGCACCAACATTTTAAAACTCCCTTTGAATTGATCAATTCTCTCACAAACTAACCATTTGAATGACAGGTTACGCTGTCAGAAGTGTTACTTCTACAAAGAGTACTTATCAAGTGTTTACAGAATTTCTGCACAATGTGACTGTTCAACGCAGAAACTTGTAGATACACAGTTAATGTTACAATCGAACAAGTTAGCAGTTAGTCAGAACTATATCTTAAAATGACAATAGGAAATTCTTATCAATGTTTATAATCAGTTGAATTTGTTTGTGTTCATTTAAAATGTAAGTTATCATTTGAATAAATTTTCAAAAACTGTATCTTCAGTTTCCTCAGAAAATTCACTTGTCAACGACAAATCAACTTGATGAAAATACAGAAATCTGATTGGCTACTGGATGACCTTCACTTTTCATCATCATCATCAATATCAACATAAGACTAGGCATTACTGCGTAACACGACGTTGTCACACCTCATTTCAGCACATCAAGTAACAAAGTAGTAAGACTAAAGATGAAGAAATAAACAAAAATCAGTCGAA